TCTTTCCATGGAAACTCTTTTTTAAAAAACGTTTGAAGGGTTTTTCAGAAAAAAAATTTTTGGCAAAAAGTGATAAAAGTGTCTCATACAGAAAACTCTAGGCAAATAAGCCAAGTAACACAAAAATTGAAATTCAAATTAGCAAGTGAACAAAACTGACGAAGCGGATACAAGGCCGACAACCATTGAGTAGACACCAGTTGAGCCAAAAAAAAACTAAAAAAAATCTAAAAACTTCAAAAAATTTCAATTCCATATAGAAACTACCCTGTAGTAACTAGTTACTACGCAGTGGTGACCTACATGTCTGGTTTGTCGGAGATTGAACATGATAGCACGTGAATGGAGCGCACATGAAAGAAGTGATTGTGTTAAACTAGTTGTTAATCCGAAATAAAAACCATAAAAACCGAAATAAAAACCGTTACCAACTTTCGCAATTAAAAGTCGCTGCTCGATAGTGGAGTTTGCTATCCTTTTACACAGAGGCGAAGCCTAAATTTTAAAAACATATAATTTCAAAAAACTATTTGACTTGCTAGCGAAATAAAAAATTAGGTTTTTCTACACAGAGGCGAAGATGCACTTCGCATACAAAAGCAAAAATATGACCGATAATGCTACTGGGAAAAGCTGAATAAGTAATACTTTGAGTTTACAAAATTTCTTAAGTGACTCACGCCAATTATGCATCTACCTGCATGCTAAGTGACGCAAGCCACTTATGACGCATTAGCAAAGCCCGCCAATTTGAAACATTACCAACTAACATGCCTCAATTTATAGAGCGGACGCATTTTTAGCTAGTATACGAAAAATTTCATTTAAAACATCCGACCGTGCCATGGTTCAAACCCACTCATTTTGTTGCGGATCTCCTTCCCTGCCTCGACGCTACATATCCATGAAACCTTGAAGCTAAAGTGCTATTTGTAATATAATAGTCTGTGTTAATATCCTTAGCATTGGCTGTACTTAATAGCTGGTCATTGATCAAAATGAACACGATTTGTCGCAACAATAATTGAAAAAAAAGAGTGCTAGTTGGAAAAAAAGAGTTCATACTATAACAAGCGATATAACAAGCATAAATTTCGGCTACGTCTGAGATTCGAACCTGCAACCTAGAGATTCTTGTCTCACACACTAACCACTTAATAAATCACAAACACTAGCCACAAAGTAGTAGAGAACAGACGCTATGAAATTTCCAATGCTACAGATCGTTACTGTAGCAAAAGTGCCATCAAATAAGTGAACACTTTTAATGATTATTATTTTTTGCGAGTTAGGTAAGGAAAATCGAAGGTCCGTAATAACACACTACGCTGCTCACAATTTTAAAAACTGGATCAATAGGTAAACGTTTTCTTCAACCGGGAAAACAGAAAAACAAAATCCACTTTCGAAATTAGAAAATGACAACGTTTTTCATGACTTTTACACCTTTGACGTTCAATAGTGGAATTTGCCTTCCTTTAACAAAAGAAAATGAATTGAACATAAAAAAACACGGAAGTTATTCTGCGAAAAATCAAATTTGAGCTTGACAAATTTTAGGACCTTTTCATGAAAAAAAAAACAAACGAACAAAATCATCACGACCTATAAAGAGTCTTCACTACATTCATTGACTCTTAAAAAAGATAAATTACGTTAACGCTATTTGAGTTTCCAGATTTATTTATGTTTTGCACTCTTTTCTTGAAGCTAGATCATGTTAAAGAAAAACTGGACCTTTTCTGCTTCCGCTGGGAGAAAACGGGGTAATTTCTTTACTCCCCTGGAACTTGGCATTAAAAAATTCAAACTGAAGCATTGGCATTTTCGTGACCATTATACTTTTGTCGTTCGATAGTTGAGTTTTTCTGAAGTAGGGGCGCGCATTAAGTAACAAGAATGCTAACTGAACTCCGGCGAAGTGAACACATCCATTAGACATTTTCAACCGTCAAACGACGCAAGAAGCTACTAGCCCGAAAAAATAAAAAACCGAATTAACATTAAAAAGGAAAAGCATATATATGAATACGGATTGAGTGCGTAAGTTTACCAGCAACACAAAAAAACTTCGGATTAAACGGGTATTCAAAACGTGTCAACATTTTAAAACAAAATCGAAGAAATTGGTAACTTAGTTATCTGTACCATAGAGGAATACTGTTTGATGGCATTCCAAAACAACAGCGAAGAGACAGTTAGAAAAGAGTCAATGAATCAAGAAAACAAAAAACTGAAAAGATCTTCAATTGTCGAATTTTAGAGTACAAAATATATAGCCTCAAAGCTCTTTGAGTTTCAAGATTAGTTTATGATTCACTTTTTACTGATCAAATATCTCAATTTGAGAAAACTGAAACAATAAGAAAAATTTCTATTCCGCTGGGAAATCAGGAAAATCTACTTTCGAAATTAGAAGAAGGCCACGTTTTTCGAAAATGGCTTATTTATATAAAAATATGCAAAAAAATGATATCAATGCAAACGTAACAATTGACGGGGGAATCAAACAACGCTTTTGAATTCAGAAATTGAACGTAGAAATAATTTCAACAAAAATGGCCAAATCTCCAAAACAATTGAGTTTCTGATCTTCGTATTTTTAACTCATAACCGAAACTCTAAAATAGCCGACAGCATACAACTTCGCTTTCCATTTTGAAAACAAAAATTGAAACGAGTTCATTTGCAGTATCATCAAACAAATCGAGCAAAAATGATTTTAAAATATGTTTGATGAAAAATTTTTAAATATCATTAAAAAACGACAATTTTGAGCAGCAAAATTATGATGGGAGGCCACAGCTGCAACCGCTGGTGTTAACGTGGCATCATCCAACCAAGGGGTAGACAATTTCAAATATTGAAAAGTACAAATTTGAAAATTTTCTAAAAACATAAATACTTCATATCTAAGAAAGTAAAATGCGCTGAGCAGTCATATTTAAGAAGTTTTTTTTAGCTTTAAGTTGTTTGAAAACTTTTGAAAAAACATAAAAAACGGCATATCTCAGAAACTTAAATGATTAGAGCAAACAAACTTGGAGGCAAGATCTAAAATGTTTGAGAGTGCCCTGAGACCACCTCACTATAGGAATGGTGATTTCAAATTTTGAAAAATTGTTCGAAAAACTATGAAAAATATAGAAAATAATGTCATATCTTGGATACCAAAAGCATTTGAGCAGTCACCTTTAAAGTCAAGATTTGCAACCACTGAGAGTACCTCGACAGCACCTTTTTGCAGGGTTGGGAATTTCAAATCTAATTTTTTGAATCTAAAATTTCTGAAAATTTTTGAAAAATTATAGGAACATCATATCTCAGAAACTGAAAATATTTGAGCAGGCATATTTTTGAGGCAAGATTTGTAACACCTGAGAGTACCCTGACAGCGCCCAACTACAGGGTTGAGTGTTTTAGATTTAATCAAAAAATCACAAGAATTGTTGTATCTCGTAAACTAAAAAGATTTGGGCAATCATAATAAGAGGCCTAATTTGCAAACCCTGGTGGAACTCTGACAGCATCCCACTGTTGGGTTGATAATTTCAAACTTCAAATTCACGCTAGAAAATTGAATTTTTTTGCAATATACCATATAGCTTAAACGTAAGAAAACTCTTTCGTTAAGAATGCAAAAATAATACGTTGAAAAAGCTTAAACATGTTGAGATAGTGAAGCCCGCGTTTAAATATATAATAATAGATAGATAATAAATTAAGCACGAAACATTCGGTTACAAAAAAAAACAAATCCTGACCGGAATCGAGTCACTGAACTTAAAAGCATGAACATTCACTACGCCTTAAGCTGGCAAAATAATTACCTTGAACTTAATAAGCTTATTAAAATAAGCGAAACTGCAATTCACATACACAAACAATAAATGGCATGTGTGAGCTTTCAAATAGCAAGAAAATGCAAAAACAAAATAGAATAGACTGAAATACGGAAAAACAAAAATACTACCTCGGGAAATCGAACCTACGCAATCGACTACCGACAGCTTTCGAGTCTATTGCCTCAGCAGTCGAGCTATCTGGCGATGCTGTCATCCAAAAACCAGCCGCTAATCCATCGGACGTTTTCCAACAAATACAGGCTACATAGACTCTAAATTTGGCACTTGGGCTTTTGTAAGGATGTGTAGGCTGGGGAGTCTAGAAAAGTCCCGTGAACAAAGTTCCAAATTGGAAAAAGTCTAGGTTCTGGTTGCAACACCTCTAGGCTCTCTTCCACTACGAAAAAGCCTTAAAAAAGGCCCCATGAAAACCCAAAAAAAGAGTAGGTCAAACAATCTTCCGTCTAAAAAATTAATTTAACACAAAGACGATCCGGACTTACGCAGTAGCTTTGAAAAGCACGAAAAAACCAAAAAAAATAAAATAAAAACGGTTGAAAAGAAACAAAAGGCCCTCATTCGGATCTCAGTTGCAGACTAAAAGTTTCGCCAACTGCTCAATAACGCCTTGCTGTCATCAAAAGCTAGCCACTAATAAACCGGATACAAAAAAAAAACAGAAATGATTCAAAACAGCTGTTATATCGCCAATGTTGAATTATATGCAGCAGCAGTGTCTAGTTGATGAGAAATAGTTTGTGCGAGTTAGGTTGGAAAAAAGGTAAACTAAAAATATAAGACGAGAGTTAGCGTGTAAAAAAAAGGAACTCTAGTTTTGAATGAATATTGTAGTTAGTACGATAAAAATCCATCTAAAAATTTTTAAGAGCGGCTAAATCGAGCTGTTAGCGAGCAAAGTCCTCTACATAAACACTGAGTGCGGTCAGTATTTAGACAACCGCGTATTCAGTAAGCAGACATATACTATATTAACCAATCACAATCGAGATGAGAAAGCAAATTTACGAAATAAATAATTATTAATTATTCATTTCTTCCTTGTCTCGACTCTGGTTGGTTAATACAGTATTTGTCTGAATACTGACGAGTACGAATACGCTGTCTAAATACTGCTACGTAACCATAAGCACTTACCCTATCTAATTTCCTTTTAGTGGCATCATGCTGAGCCACTTCATCCTGCACTTCCTGAGACAACCGCTCATTCTTGGCTTCCAAATCGAGAAGTCTTTCTCGCAACTTGCGCACATCTTTTCCAACGTCACTGGACCCGAGAGATTTGAGTCGTTCAATTTCCTTCTTCAAATCCTCGTTTTCATCTTTCAATTTTTGCTCTTAAATAAACACTTAGTTGGCTAATTTTATGAAGGCAATTAATAACAAGGATGGCCGTTTGCTGTGCAAGTAGCACAGAATTTTTCGACCACATTCATTTTCAGTGCGTGGTGTGATTCGTGACTTAAACAAACGCAAATAAAAAGAGTGAATTAGGCAATATCGACATTTGTCATCGACAAAAATGAATGACAAACAAAAAATGAAGAAAAAAATTTCATCAAGATTCTTTCGATTTCTAGCGCAATTATTTGAAAAATCTTTTTTAAAGAAAATTTTGATTACCAAGGAAGCGCTAACTGAAACTTCCAAAACTAGATTTCTTTTTTGATTAAACCAAGTTTTTTTTAGCCTAAAATTAAATATTTTTTTACGAACCTTACTCGACCGATTGCTTTATTTGCTCGGAATTGATGTAAAACTCAAAAATTTTAAGCCAGTTTTTCTCGACAGTGGGACCATTTTAGAAAATTTGACCGAAAGGGCTTTCATTTGATATATCACTCGACCCATTCCTATGATTAGTTGTGGTTCCAGATTTGCGTGGAAAACAAAAAACTAAAGCAAACCCAAGCACAATGCGACTGTACAAAAACAAACGTACCTTCCTTTGCTGAACGTTCACCTTCATTAGCCGCGAGACCCGTCAGTTCCTCTAGATATGTTTCGGCAAGGTCGTGATTAATCTAGTTGAAAAACATTCGGTTGTTCATTTTTTAAACTGTTATTAAAGCTGATAAGAAATACTACTTACAATAAGAGCCTCTTTTGTCACATTGAAAAGATGAATTAGATTGTCCACAGACGCATCCTTGTCTGTGTTTTTTATTTTAAGCTGAAACAAAAACTTTTTGGTTGTAGAAACAAATGCGATCACAAAAATAACAAAAGATCAATCAATTACATCGTTCAAAAGTTCGTAACTTTCGTCAATGTTTTCATCATTAATATCTTCGGCGTTCAGTTGCAATATTGCATCCCAATCCACCGGAGCCATATTTCTAACTGAAGAGGAAAAAAGTTAAAGCTGAAATCTAACAAAACCAATCCTCCTAAAAAGTATCACATTTGATATCAAACACCATATTTACCTGGCGTATCGAGACGCAAGAAAGACTGGAAGAAGCCGAGACATATTCCAACACAGAGGCAAAGCGGAGCTTCGCATCACTTGCGATACCACCAATAAAACCTTAGTGTACCTTGCGATACCACCAACCTCTGAGGAGTGCAATCCTCAGCCTTAGGGGATGCAAAAATCTTACAAACACATCCAACATAGACAATTGTATCTGTGCTATAATCGAGGAGGGTAGATTTTAATTGACAATTCTCTTGATGCATTAATATCGACTTGATTTATTCATAAAATTTTGCCGATGTATTTATATAGCGTTGGTACGGCCCTATCCAACTTGTGCACGTACCATCGCATGACGAAAGGGTCTATTTTAATTGACCTTTTTTTTACCAAAAAAATCTTGCAAACGAGCAACAAGGTAAGGAAGGGAAACAAGTCGAAAAACGGAAAATTTTTCAAAGAAACCACAACTGAAAAAACTTCAAAACCTTGTGTGAGATTGTAACATTCGCCCGGAGTGTGCCAGTCGGTCATATTTGTAAGTTTGACCTTGAGCAATGCGAATAACATGATTTTGGGGTCAAATGGAAATTTTCAAAAATTCGAATGGGACATGTCATGCTCAAGTTTCTCGTGACAACTGAAAATATCAGAAAAATAAGATCAGAACAACCGAATTACAATCGCGGGAAAGTACTTGAAAAAAGCAGCGGGAAATTGCTATTCGCAATTTCCAGATATAAATCAAACGAGAGTAGAGCTGTCCAATCTGATATAGGAGACCGAACAAATACAAGAGCAGAGCAAGAATCAACTGGACCAGAGTGAACCTTCAACGGAAAGGCAGACAACTGAAGTCTCCCAGTGGTCCAGATCCAAAACTACATTCTTGCATTAAAACTTACTTCCTTTGATTGGAGCTCATTGTCAGAAAACTTCTTGAGTTATATTCGATTATATTTATGCAAGAGTCATTAATTAGTTTAATCACTCTGTTTCTCAAGCGTGCTGCTATGTAAGTACCAAATTTAGTTTTCTCGAGTGCATTTTATGATAAGTATGTTGAGGTAAGGCGAGTTTTAGGTTTGTAACATTCGCCCGGAAGATACATATCGACGGAAAACAAAACTAAGTCTTAAGACGACTGGCTAACGTCTAAACAGAGCTTTGCATGCTTTTCACCGTCTCTACCAAGCCAGTACTTTTCGGTGGTCTCTTCCAACATCGGGTCGACAAAAACGTTACTGCTTTCGGCTTCGGTCAAAACACTCAAATTAACTAGATTACATGCAGAAATAGTGAGCTCATGGCTGGGTCTCAGTATCCCCAGACCACGAGGTCAATCCTAAAAACAGGGCTACTACTATTTATTATATTACGATTATTTTTGTTCAGTAGATAAAAATCATCATCTCCATCGAAGATGGATCAACCCTTTCCCCCAACTCCTAGCTTCTCATCCTGTGACATTCGACCAGAATGGCCAAAATGCAATCTCTGCAGAATTCGAATTTTTAGCAGCGAGCCTTCCGGATTGGTGGTTATTAAGAACTAAGAACGTTATTGGAACGATTGGCCAGACGGTGAGGGCTGGAATATTCTGGTATTTTTAAATTTCAAAAATTCGAATTATGACGTCATATTTCTGAGAAACGTCAGAAACGGCCATTTTGGCTAAAACAAGAAAGAAAAACACAACAACATTAGCTGCGCTAACAACAACATTAGTTGCGCGGACGAGAAGTGCGAAAATCGTGAAAAAAAAACAATAGCCGATTGCAGAAATTGCAGATAACACTCCGAGTTGCAACTATTGTGCCGCTACAATAGTTGCAGGGCCGTTGCAGACAACGGTGAAGGGTGGAGGACAGCCTTCCGGATTAAGAAGAAGTCAAGATTAGCGAGCTTGATTCAGTGGATTCAAGAATCCGGAGGGGTTTCGGGACTGAAACTTTTAGCCTGTTATATAAACTTTTAGCTTCCTGTCATGTCCTGACTTGAATTTAATTAACATCTAGATTCATTTTGATAAGGATGAGAAGCTAGGAGTTGGGGGAAAGGGTTGATCCATCTTCGATGGAGATGATGATTTTTATCTACTGAACAAAAACAATAGTAATATAATAAGTAGAAGCCCTGTTTTTAGGAGTGACCTCGTAGTCTGAGGATACTGAGACCCAGCCATGAGCTCACTATTTCTGCATGTAATCTAGTTAATTTGAGTGTTTTGACCGAAGCCGAAAGCAGTAACGTTTTGTCGACCCGATGTTAGAAAGACCACCAAAAAGTACTGGCTTGGTAGAGACGGTGAAAAGCATGCAAAGCTATGTTTAGACGTTAGCCAGTCGTCTTAAGACTTAGTTTTGTTTTCCGTCGATATGTATCTTCCGGGCGAATGTTACATAGATGTTTTTATGGCGCTCCTGGGTGTTATTCTTTTTAACATCATGACCGGCGGAACCGTTAACGAGCACTCCCCGCCAAGCGGATGCTCACATTAACGCCCTTAATAGGCCTAAACCGCCGGGGCCGAAGGGTAGTTTGGAACGCGGAAGCCTTCCGGATTACCGTGAATAGCTTTTTAACTTAGTTAAGACCGAAAATTCACGAACCAGGAAGGGTGGGGGGATTCGCGGTCCCGTCATTTCCTGAATGGTTTGTGACCAAAAACACTTAAAGATATATATAAAACCAAACAAAAAGTAGTATAGTACCCAAGAAAAACAAAAAACATAAAAAATATACGAAAAAACCAAAAACAAAAAAAAGTAAAAAATCAGTAGAAATCATCCCCCCAGACAAGATGTGATCCGACCCCCCCCCCGTTTGTTGTTGATAGATATATTGTTGTTACAGGCATTTATATCAGTCAGGATCGTTACGATCAGTTTTGTAGCCCGTTTGTGAGGCTTGTACTGTAGGGTTAATTGAGCATTTAAGCACGTTAATGATAAATTGCGCTCAATCCGGAAGGGTCAGCTGATTTGCGCTCAACTCGGAAGGGTCTTGGGAAAAGACTGATCCGGCAAGCAGTACAAGGAGCAACAAGAAGAGGCTCAACGACAACAACAATCGACTGTTGGGTATCGTTAACAAGTTTTGTATCCCTTTTGGTACAAAAAATTAAGATAGTAATCTGTGGGGGGCTCGACAGTGCTGCACTGTAGTGACCCTTCACCGAACTGCGAATATCCGAGTTAAGCACCTTAATTCGGATATTAAACAAACCCGGAGGGGTATAGTATTACTAATATTATTACTTATATAGCCTATATTAATAGTCTTATATCGTTTTTCAGTGAAAAACAACGAAAACAGACCGGTTTTTAGGGTCAAAATAGCGATATTTTGATCCCCCCACAAGTCGCGATTTTTGAGATATCGATATTTTTTCAAACGGAAAAAAGAGCTAAGTTAGTGTGTTACATTGTAACTGCACTACCACAATAGAGAGAACCGGTTAAGTTTAGTTCGAAAGTAGTTGGAACTACTTTGGTACCGAAAACCGAATTTTCGTGATTTTTGAGAAAACGAAACACTATAAATTTAGAAAATTTTTTGAAATTTTTGAGTTACAACAGTAAAAATAGTTGTTCGGACAACGTCCACTAGTGAATCTACAAGTTTTAAAACCCGCTACCCGAAAGCCTTCCGGGTTGCAGAGAAATCGCACTTAACGTGTTTGATTTGGTGGATTCATCAATCCGGAGGGGTACAGGTAGGATAGTTTTTCGCAAATTTCTTCTACTAAAACGTTTTAGATCGGGTCTTTTGCATTGAACTAGAAGAGTATAGGCCTTCTGAGCTCGGATCAATAATTTTTAGGTCGAAAGGACCTGATTTGCGGAAAAAGTTAGGCGGAACCTATAAGAGAGAAAAAATTTTGAGTTTAGAAAAAAGACGTTTTGGTTAATAACTTTGAGACTACTAGGCATATCGAGTTGATCTTGGTACCAATAGATCAGAAATTAGCTGAACTTACTGATAGGGACAAAAATTTTTCGGAAAAGTAAGCGTGAAAAATTTTTGAGATTGTTTTTAGCAAATTCCTCAATTTGGAAGGGTACACCCTTCACGTTTTACAAAAATATTTTAGAAAAGCCATTATACCCCTACCAAAAGGTAATAGCGGTTGAAAAAAGTAACTTTAGGCTGTTCTAGACGAAAAGGCAAGGCTAAAGGCACAGCAAAACCTTAATCGAGCCGAAGTTAGGCGAGCGATAAGACCCTTCACCGTCAGTGTGAATTGTCAAATAAGAGGCTTAACTTCAATCCGGAAGGGTCTAGGAAAGTAGCAAACACCCTTCCTAGTTAATTGAAAGAGCAAAACTGCATCGGAGAACGTATCCGGAGGGGTATAGGTTGAAAGAAGGTAAACTCCGAAAAGCTACTTTTACAAAACCGGAGGGCTCCCAATCCGGAGGGGTCAAAGATTTTTCAAGTTAGGAGGGGTCCGAATCCGGAGGGGTCTTATAGTTGCTAATTCGGAGGGGTCCAAATCCGGAGGGGTCTTATATTAACTAACTCAGAGGGGTCCCAATCCGGAGGGGTCTAGATTCTATTAGTCCGGAAGGGTCCTATTTGTGCCAATCCGGAGGGATATTTTTTTTTATTAAAGGACTTAGGTAGACGAAAGAAAGACTAAAAAGTGAGAGGTATTAGGTTATTAGCACACAGGCTAGGTATCAGTGACTGCACTGGTAACTTGCCTTTCAATAAGAACCAGACTAAAACAAAACAGGTCCGAACTCGGATATTCGCGACACTAAGTCTAAATTAAAAAGAGCGTGATTCATTGGTGTGGATTGTAACATAATACGTTTTTGGGAAAAGTGACTGCCCTGAGGATTTTAGTAGTTCTAGCTCGGGCAGTCCGAAGGCAGATAGGTAACACAGTACTCGGTGGGTGCAATAGACGCCCACT